GAAGCATTAAGAGAAAATAAATGAGGAATAGTTTGCCCAAAAGGGGTAGTTGATAAATTAAAAAAAAAAAAAAAAAAAAAAAAAAAATTATGATGAATAAAAATTTTTATTTTACAATTTTATATATTGTGTTTTATATTTTATTTTTTAGGGTCCTTTTTTTTTAGATGAAATGAGAGTATGGAGTGAAATGGGATACTTTGAACCTATGCTTCCTGTAAGATGTTGTGATTCTGATCGTTTTGTTGCATTAAATAAGCTATTTCCACCACCGCATAAACCTTTTACTATTGTACCAAAACCTCAACCAATTTTACAATGGGAAGAAGAAATATTATAAAATTCAATTATTTTTAATTTTTATATTAATATTTTCTTTTTCTTTTTCTTTTTTTTTTTTTTTTTTTTTTTATTTAAATATATCTGTAATTTAAAATGCAGAAAACGTATGTAAAAATATATTTATATGTGTGTCATTAATAATAGTTCTTTCTTTTTTTTTCTGTTTTTTCTTTTTTTTTTTTTTTTTTTTTTTTTTTNGAAGAAGAAATATTATAAAATTCAATTATTTTTAATTTTTATATTAATATTTTCTTTTTCTTTTTCTTTTTTTTTTTTTTTTTTTTTTTTTTTTTTTTTTTTTTTTTTTTTTTTTTTTTTGTTGTTTGTGCATAATTAAAGAAATAGATATATTTATATAAAAAGTAAAAATAAAAAAAATGAAAAGCTTTATAACATTTTTTTTTTTTTTTAACTTTAAACTTTGTTTTCTTTTAATTTGTTCATATAATAATATATATATATTTGCTTATTTTAAAATGTTATATATCTAATGTAATATGATTTTCTTATTATATACTTATAAAAATATATTATTTTTCTTCGACTCATTTTATATATATATATATATATTATTTTTTTATAATTTCACGATTGTGTTTTACTATATTCTATTTTTGATAAAAGAACTAAATCATGATTCTAATTCTATTAATTTAATTAAATACTTAATAAAAATTATAAAGTCAGTAATCATTTCTTCAAAATTTACGAATTTTATTTTTCACATAGAATATCATTTAAAAATTAAAATAATTTAAACTAATTTTTCAAAAAAAGTTTTTAAATTACACTTTGTATTAAAGAAATTTTAATACATATTTAATTTTATTTAAAAAAAAAAAAAAAAAAAAAAAAAAAAAACAAACAAAAAAAAAAAAATTAAAACAAAAAACAAAAATAAAAAATAATAAAAAATAAAAATGAAACAAAAGACAGTAATAAAAAAACAAATTAACAAAATATCAAAAAAATAAATAAATATATATATATATATATATATATACTTATATGAATTATTACATTTATTTTTTTTTTTTTATTTTCTTCTAATAAAACAAAATTTTATTCCTTTAATTTTTAAAAGCATATTTCTTATATAAATATATAACTATTTACATTTTAATTTTTCATATTTCTCAATTAAGGCAGATGTTTTTAGCAATGAATTTTTTTTTTTTGTGCTACTAGATCGTCTAGTAATATAACAATTTTTGTTACCACTAAAATATTCATTCTCATTCATAAATTTGGAAGAATAAGATCTTGAAAATGTGGCATTTTTTTCTTTATAATTATCATTTTTTAATTTTGGATATAAAAAAAAATTAGCTTTATTATTATTCATTAAATATTCATTGCTATATTTATTTTTATCATGTAGAAAATAATTCACATTATTACTATTTTGATGATACATAATTTTTGTTAATTCTTTTTTATTCATATTGTCTAACAGTGTGATAGGATTATTTTTTTTGTTATAAAAATTTTCGTTCATTTTTGTTCGTGTTAAAAAAATAGAATCATTTACAAATTTTTTTTTTTTGTCACTAAATTTATTTAAAATTTCATTATCATTACAGTTAGTACATTCATTTATATCATCCTTTTGATATTTATATATATAAACATTTTTATTATTTTTTATTTTTGTATTAATAGGTAGATAATCGTTATTATTACTATTTTTTTTTGAATTTTTTTCATTCAAACTATTTTTTACACCAAACAATTTGACAATAGAAAAAGCGGCTTTATCTACATCATCACCATTTTTTGATATTTTATAATCCATTTCTCTTAGATAATTATTAAATAAATTATAATCCTCACAAAAAAATTGTGCTAATTTAAAAAATTCTATATTATATTTTAGGAATTGCTTTTTTGAATTTTTTTTTTTTTTATTATTTATATATGCTTTCATTAATTTACTCTTATCATCTGTTGTTATTGGTTCTTCTGAATTAGGATATACATCGTTATTTTGCATATTTTTTAAATAACAATAATATGATTCATTAAAATCTAAAACTTCAATATTATTGTTTTCTTCATATATTACATCATTTATACCTTCTGAATTACCTATATTTTCATTATTATTATTATTATTATTATCATAATTACTATACATAATTTTATTACTTTTATTAATATCTGCTATACATTCATTATTGCTAATATTATCAATATTAGAATTACAACTATTTTTAATGATAACAAAATCATTATTATTTTTTTTATTTTTAGTATTAATAATATTATTATTATTATCATATATAGTATTAACAGAACTATATGTGTGCTTAATATTAATAGAATTATCATCATATTCTTTATTACTATCGAAAAGAGTTTCAGAGCTCCTTTTAAGTGTTTTATAATAGGAATCATTGTTATTATTACTATCAAAAAAATTATCAACTGATGAGATTCGATTACTAAAATTTATTCTATTAAAATTAGAAGTATTATCAATATTAATTTCATCGTTACTATTGTTACTACATTTTTCAACCATTTTATAATTATTTATATTATTATTTCTCAATGAAATTATAGAATTTTCTTCGTTAATATTTTTTTTTTTTAAATCATTTAATTCTTTACCTTCATATGATAACATTTTCTTTGGTAATTCTGATATTTCCTTACCATTTAAAGAATTTATTTTCATTTCACTTTCTTTGTTAATTTTTTTATTATTAATATCATTTTTCATAGATTCAATTTTCATTTTTAATATTTTTTTTAAAACATTACTATTTATTTTCAAATATGTCTTATTTTTTTTTTCATTCAAATCTTTCACTTCATTAAAATGGTCATTTTTTTTTTCATTCAAATCTTTAACTTCATTAAAATGGTCATTTTTTTTTTCATTCAAATCTTTCACTTCATTAAAATGGTTATTTTTTTTTTCATTTAAATCTTTCACTTCATTAAAATGGTTATTTTTTTTTTCATTCAAATCTTTTACTTCATTAAAATGACTAACTTTTTTTTCATCTAAATATTTTTTATCTTCATCAAAATCATTTTCTTTTTTATATGAATTATTTTTTTCCTTCTCATTTTGTAATGAAATGTTATTAATATCACTAATTGTTGAATTTTTTTCATTTTCATTTTTTTTTCTTAAAAAATTATATTCCATATTATCATTATTACCATATAAAATTTGGGAACTTTTGAAAATTTCTATATCTTTTTTATTATTATCCAGATTTTTATTATAATTGATTTCTTCCTTGTGTTTTTTATCATTTATTTGTTTATTTTTAAGTGTATCTAATTCTTTTATCTTATTATTCTTTATATTACTCTGATATATAGTATTTGAATCCTTTAAAAAATGTTCATCCGTTTCACTATATATATCACTTTCTAAATTAATCAAAGGATTTATATTATGTAGTAAGTATCTATTTTTTATATAATTGATAATCTTTTTTTTTTTTTTTTCCTCTTGTTTTAGATTATAATTTTTTATTGATTCAAGAAAATGATTACTTAAATCATAACTGAAAGATCTTTTCTTCTTTCCATATGAACATACATTTTGTCTTTCATGTTTTTTACTTAAATTAATTTTATTGTATTTTAATTTACTCTTGCTAATATTATTTATATAATTGGAGAAATCTAGATTATTTAGAAAATTATTACTTGAAAGTATAGAAGTTAAATTGCTTTTATTTTCTTTTATTTCCTTCTTTTTGTTATTATTTAATTTAATATCATTAACTATTTTTTTTTCAATTTTTTTTTTTTTTATATCTATAAAACTCCATTTTTTATTTATATTTTCACTATTATTTTCTTTTTTGTTTTTTTTATTTTTTCTATTATTAAAACATTTTTCTTTTTCATTTTCACTTTTATAGTTGGATTCATATTGTTCTTTTTCATCAACATTTTTTTTTTTTTTTTGATCATCACAACAATCTTCATAATTTTTAATGTTACACTTGTAAACTTCATTTTTGTCTCTTTTATCTTTATATCGAGATTCTATTTCTTTTTGTTTCTTTTTAATCATATAAAATTGTAAACTATCATAAATATTATCTTTTTTTAAAAAATATCTTTTTTCATTTTTACCTATTGGAAATGAGCATATAAAACAGTTCGTATTAGTATCATGTTGATTCTTTTCTTTTGATGCTATAGATAAATTAAAATAATTATTTTGATTGTTACTTATCATAGATAACTTTTTACCATATAAATAATTATCTTCACAATTATGATTATTTTGATTATTCAGATGAACATTACTTTTTTTTTCAATTATTTTATTTTTTTTTTTTTTTTTTTCTAATGGGGAAGAAATGAGATTATTTTCATATATATACTCATTAGATAAAAAAAGTTTTTGAGTATTTTTTAGTAAATCATTAGAATGTTCTAGTGTTAAATTATTTTTATCATTATAAATATTTGATAAAACATTTTTAAAATAATGAGAATTCTTTTTTAAATAGCTAGGTATTTTTTTTTGTTTCCACTTTTCTATCTGCTCTTTTATAAAATTATGTTTATTATCATAATCATTTAAGTATTTAAATTTATCATAACATGGATTAGAATAATAATTATTTATATATTCATGAATATTTTTATTTAAATATCCCTTAGATTTATCATAATTTATGTCATTTGTAATCTTCCTATTTTTCTCATTAGATGTTGTTATACATTCATCAAATAAACTATAATTACTTATATATGCATTAGAACTGGTTATATAAGAACTTAATTCATATTTTGTTTTTTTTAAAACACTATTTTTATCTATATATTCATTTATTTTATTCTTTCTATTTATTATATTCATAATCTTATAAGCTAATGGATTAGTTTTACAATGAAACATCATCATTTGATTTTTTAATATTTTTTTTTCGTATTTTTTCTTATTATCAGTTATATCTAAATAATTCTGATTTAAACCATATCTAGAATCTCTGATATCATTATTTTTTACAGATGAACAAGAAATATCTGATTCATAATTCTGGTTATTTGAATCATATATTACAATTTTTTTTTTTTTTTTTGCATTTAAATAATTGTGAACATACTTATCATTAAATGTATCTTTATCATTTGTTACACTGTTTTCATTGAGTAATTTATGAAATGACTTTTTATTTTTATTTCTTTTTAATTTCTTATATTCACTCATGTTTAAATTTCTTGGATAATATATAATTCTTTTTTTTATATTATCATAATATTTAGCATATTGTCTATTGTTATATATATTATTTTGTCTTTTTTTATCATCTTTTTCTTCGTTATCTTCATCATCTTCTTTATCTTCATCATCTTCTTTATCTTCATCATCTTCTTTATCTTCATCATCTTCTTTATCTTCATCATCTTCTTTATCTTCATCATCTTCTTTATCTTCATCATCTTCTTTATCATTACTATCATATTCTTCTGTTTCTATATATTCTCTATTGTTTTCTAATAATTGATTTTCTTTTAATTTATTTATTTTATAATTTCTTATACTATTTTCATTTAATAAATAATTTATAGATTTTTTTTCTTTTTTTTTTTTTTTTTTTTTTTTCCCTTTTTTTTCTATATTAATATATTTATTAATTAAAAATTCCTTAAAAGAGTTCGTATGTTCATCAATATTACCAAAATATTCATCACTGTTAGAATAATAAT